TGGGTTCGAATCCCACTCAGGGCATGGATGTTTAGTTTGTGTGTGTGCGTTTTTCTGTGTTTGTGTACAGGTAGAGGCCTTGCGACGAGCTGATCACCCGCCCAAGGAGTCCTACCGAATGTGTAAGATCTAGAAAAACCGAAGTGAACGGAGAAGTTCACTGAGGCTGTAGTGCCAAGGAAAAAAAAAGTGACAGACGCATTTCAATTCCCTTAATAATTTCTTTAGATATTTCAGGATATCTGACTAGAGCAGTAACACGAATTCAGTCAGCAGGAAGTTACGGCGTGACTCAAATGCCGTGTGTCCTAATGTACATATCTGAAATACCTTTATGGACAGCAAGGTGGAAGGTTTTGTACTGAAGAAATCTGTGACCAGCTGATGTTTTCCAATTAAGGGAATGGAGTCTGGGAAGTGCTGTGAGAAGAACTTGAGAAGTCTCGTCGGGGAATCCAGAGCCTCGAAGTCTGACAGCGGCATGAAGAGCGTGATAGTCCAGGAGCGATCTTGATTGGGCAGGGCGATCATCATGAAGTTTCCTCTAGGCCAGACGTGCAAGTAGTTGGGCTTCATTGCGAACTAGAGGAAAAGAGAGAAGGTACGAGTTTCATATATCAGAAAGGTGAGGTTATGAACTTGAGATTCTCACGGTGGTTAGAGTTTAGATTAGACCTTTTGGTTTCGGGTAAATTCCTTCTGGGCTTCGCCAGTACAGTCATTCTTTATTGAGGGTCCCTCAGGACTCATGATCATGTTTTTCTGTCTCACGACACTGACTGATCTTAGAGACTCATTCGGGTCTTCTGGGCCTCCGAGACGTTTTTATTCCACGTGAACAGTGCCACAACCGAGAAAGTTTAACCCGTAGGAATATTCCAATTCTTTAATTTCTATTGCTCAATTGTAACATTTACTATCAATCGAAATATATCGAATGAGTATATAATTTAAAAAGAAACAAGTGTTTATGAGTGTCGTATGAATGAAACTTATGTATTCTTCTCTTTGACACAGAAAATTGTTACTGTATGTTTAAGAAAGAGGAAAATCATATTTATCTTCAATCATTGAAGATTTACTTCCTCTGGGATATAATTCCATGTAGTTCGCTTAAAGTCAACCGACGTTTGGTGAGAATATATCGTCTTCAGAGCAGAGCACTAAGCCAGTCAAGAGTATAGCATAAAACAGGCAGTAACTAGAACTGTTACTTGGAATATTTTTCGACCCTGAAAATGGAGGCGGTATATCTGTCCAAATCATCTCCTGGCTTTCACCGGACAACACAACGTTATATGCCAGGAGATAGAACTCTTCATAGACAGCGCTGTGAGAACCTCAAATCCATTATATCGTGTTGAACTTAATTCGGATTTCGATTTTCAATCTATGGAAATAAAATATCTGAAAATATTTTCAGTAATTTAAGTGACCTCATGACATGAGGAAGGAAGAGAATTACCACATATTTTAGTGAGTTTATCCTGGCCATTTATATCGCGTTCCTGCATTGAGGACAGAACGGAACTCACTTCGCCATCTTGCCCAGGAGGCATGCAAAGTTCCACGTATCCATGCTCTATGTAGGTCTGACTGAAGTTGAACATGGGCTGCTTCATGAAATGGCGTCTCACCGTGGAGAATGCGCCGTCCGCTCCTATGATCAGGTCCGCCTTTTTGTGGACAGTTTCGTTGGTGTCCGTTCTGTAAATGAAGAACGCTTTCAATTTAACTCCAATGTATTACACAGCTCTCAAAATTTATATCTGGTTTGTCTGAATTTTTGAATGGTTATAAGGGTTTATATTTCACAGAATTCCAACATATTTTGGAAAATAGAAGTGACGTAAAAATCAATAATTTATTTAAGGCGTACTACTGTCTCGGATTTGACGCCTTGTAGTCTGGTAGAAATATGCTGTTTGCTTCCCCGGCTTACTAGCAACCTAATAATTCATGATTGTAATCATGAAATCTGTTGATCGTCGCTAATCTGGAATGTATATTTAGTTCTGAAACGCCACTTCCAGCCCTGCTTGGGAATTTTGAGAATTTAAATAATTACAAATATACATAATTCTTTCAGATTCTACTCTGCTTGCTGCTTGTTTGCTTGGATTACTCGTTACTCATAAAGATGGAGGTAGTACATTCCTCCGAAACGTCGGCGAACTTCTGCCGGAAGATGGTACTGCTTACAGTCACAGAATATCAAACCTTACATCAGTTTCTGTACGTTGAACACATGAAACTACTGAGCATACAAAAATCAGCAGAAAGTTGGTCCATCACTCTTATCATCACTATCAAGTCCAAGACAGGCTTCAAGAACAATCCCACTCCGGAGGAATCCCTCCGTCTCTTTCTAGGACGTCCTGTACCTGTGCGACCAACTTCTTTGTATGCCTATGCATAGTAAAGTTCTTTCAAGTGTCCGCTGCCAGGTGACACACATACATACCCTGACGTACTTTCCTTTAGGTTCCTTGTGATGCACATGCTCTTACTGGATACTTTATCTTAACCTTTCATAGAGCTGCGGTAACTATATAGTATATACCATCTGTTTTAACAGTAAGAAATTCCACATTTTACAACCAAATATATTAGTGTGGTTTCTTGTCATTCTCAAAGCAATAAGCTATTATCTCAATAAGCACAATTAATCTATTGATCTGTATAATGGGCACAGTATTTTCTGTCATTTGGGATTTTCGTCACCAACACCGTCACACTTAGTGAGCTATATATATATATATATATATAAGTTATACACACGTATCATATAATTTTATTGTTAAACAACTGCTTTGTATGAATAGAGATAATAGCCATGTTGCGGCTATGAGCATTCATTTGTTCCATTCCTTTCACTAGTTCAGATTTATATTAAATAGAAAGGCAATATTCCGGCAAAAGCAACTGTGTGTGTTCCTTCATTTGTTATTCATTACCCTTCAACATCGCCAACATTACGGCTGAAAATTTTCTAAATATTGTGACTGACGAAACAGTGAATAGGATAAATCTAGTCCGCATAACTCCATTCTATTTCTTTAAGTTTTTTTTATTGTTAGTGGGGTGGGACTAAGTTCCTTGTACCGCGGCCACTTCTGGCCTATTTTACCAGCCCCAGATGATAGGTGAGGGTGATTGTGGACCAATTGGTGGAATGAAGAGTGGCAGGGGAAACCGAAGTACTCGGAGAAATCCTGCCCCAGCGCCACTTTCTCCACCACAAATCCTACTTGACAAGACCCGGGATCGAACCCGGACCGCCACGGCGGGAAGCCAGCGACTAACTGCTTGAGCGATGGCGTGGCCTTCTTTAAGGTTAACTTCAGTATTATTCTCGCCTCTACGCAGTGGTCATTCCCCCACGCTTTGCAATAAAAATTCTGTGTGTATTTCTTACCTCTTCCTTATGCATCACACTCCCCTCTTATCTCATCCACCCTGATCCGCTCATCGTAATTATATTCGTGAAGGGAACAAATTAGTAAGTTCGTCATTATCCGTTTGTTTAAATCCTCCTGTTACTTCTTTAGTTCCTGTTCTCACTCTCAGTCTATGCTCTTCCCCGCGAGAGAAAAATTTTAACATCAAAAACAACTTTCTGCTTGCGATCCGAGGTCTTCACACCGGCGGTCATGAAGAGCTCTAACTTCTTGGTTATAACACCCTGTAGCCCGTTGAATGTCAACCGCCGTTTTGCAGGTAAATGTCGGCTTCATCTTCAGGGTCGAAGAGTAATCCAAGTAAGAAAACAGCGTGAAGCAGACAGCACGCAGAATTGACTTACAACGGGCCACATGACACTACGCGTACATCCCAGAAGATGGAAACCTTGTCCTTTCTGAGCACCTATAGTCCCACTGGTTCTAATTTCTCTACTCTACTCAATGAACTCTCCAAGCTCCTAGCCCTCACTTACATTTTCCGTTGCTTACGTCGTTCCAAGGAATCTGTCCAAGTTCGAGGCCCTGTGTAGTATTTTGTAATATAGTGTTTGTTTATGATAAGGAGTTATTCGTCCACCTCGCTACCCAAAGCTGGAGGACCACCCTTTGTCAGTTTACACAGTTGCTTATTAATAATATTCAAAAATATCCTTCACATATGTTGCAGCCACCTCAGGTACCTAAGGACGGGCCATGCCAACGGACCATTGATTGAACGTATACTTACAATTGAAACGTCATAGAGCCTTCTTGTAGGTTAGCACTGATCAGCCTATGACTGAAGTGCAGATTCACGTTGAAGTTTTTCTCAATGGCTGTTGGAATGAAAAAAGAAACAAAGACGTAATTACGTTTAATAAATAACATTTTCATCATGATGTTTTATACATTTCTTCATTCTTCAAAATATCTGCAACAGTTCATTCCAACTATATAACCTAACCCTCCTGAAACAATGATTGAAACGTAAGATTCATGCTTTGCTTGCACAGTACGCATTTTCTTATTATTTCAGTATGGCTCACATTTATGGCTTATTGTTGAGTGAACTAGAAGCAATAAGCAATGTAATTATATTATGGCGTATAGACCCCTTGCTAAACAATAAATCTGTATACATCGGCTGTTGCTAGGTAACGTCCGCAACATACAAGCACACAACATTAGAAGTACGGAGTTTTCTATGTGGCCCGCGACGCAATCGTTGTTGTGCAACGTCGAGGTAAACACGCTTCTATAACAATAGAAGGGCTGTGTTTTCTGTGTGGTCCGTGCCGATACTATAGGAATAATCACTTTAATTCCGACTCAAATTTGCTTCATCTTCTCACAATACCGGATGTGTATGTTCGAAACGCGTAGGGCGGTCCATTACTCAATTAACTGGTTGGTAAAATGCACAAAAAATACGTTAAAATATGTATATAACTACTGTAAAGCTATCCCTGTAACAGGCCGTGAAGGCCCATAGGGTTGTGAGACGTTGAGCGTCCCACATTATCTAGATAATCGGCTAAAAGATGGCGGTAAGTTTGTCAGCCTTGCGCGCCGGCCGCGCTTTACTCCCCAGGAAAATTATAATTTTCTAACTATAAAATAACTATGACCCTGGGGTCGACTCAGCCTCTAACAGAAATGAGTATCAGGAATTAATTAAATAATTATTTAATTAATTCCTGATACTCATTTCTGTTAGAGGCTGAGTCGACCCCAGGGTCATAGTGCGGCTGGAATGATTAGGTCAATTGAAGAAAGTCCAATGACCTCACCGGGACTTGAACCCCCGACCTTCCGGCTTGTAGCATAGCTCCTCAACCAACTACGCTACCGCGTGCCCCCATATATCACTACTGACTTCACACAAATTTTTCTTAATGAGATCCTTCATGTTCAGGCCACAACTCAAAGGCTGTGATGCCTTTCTACAAATTGACTAGCAGGTTTAAGTCTGAAAGTTCCTTTTAATACGAGAGAATATTTTAGCTTAACCGAATTTTTGGTCACTTTGTATTTTATCGTGATATTCAGAATATTTGTACTTACCCGTTAGAAGAACCTCGTTCAGGTATCTCCGACTCACGGAGTAAATACACTGAAAAGGAAACGCATAATTTTGGCCTGTTAGGAATGCAGTTCAAATAGATAATTTTCTTGCAAGTCGAATAAATGATCTAAAAGCAACAAACATTTGGTGGTTATGAAGTAACACCTGTAAGCTTCTGGGGTCGTAGAGTATAGGGCGTTGGCTACCATTCAGATTGTGTATCATGCGCCCCTTCATGGGAATTCCGTGATGGTTCACTAGCTGGTCGTCAAGACCCACTTCCTTCAGAGCTCGTATTCCCCGCGCTGACAGAGAAAGGTTTATGCTTCTGCCACGAACATGTTTCGAAGCTCGGATATCTGCAATAAAACAATTTCATCGTTAAAGGTGGACGAGTTTTCTTATACAGGTACTGAAATGAGACATTCAGTATATTGAGACATAAATTTAGAAAACTCCCAGCAGGATGAAACTGGAAACTTGATCAAACCGAAGGAAATGGACAGAGCTAATGAAGGCCATGTACAACTTTGAGATACGGAGCCAATGAGATACTCGGGAGCGAAAGATCTCACTTATCTGGTGCACAGATTTGAGTACAAATCAATATCTTTCATCGCAGAGAACGACTCACCAAGAATGTTGCGCCGTTTCATAAGTGTCTAACTTTAATATTTTTCTCATTCATTCATGTCACATTCCGAGATGATACCTCGGTAAGGCCATGATCTCTTCCTTTAAAATCCCTTAAAATTCATTTTTCATTAATTCGATGCTGGAGCCGGGATAGCTCAGTCGGTATAGCGAGTAGCTACGGGCTGGACGGCCGAGGTGTTGGAGTTCAAGTTCCAGTAGGTTCAAGAATTTTCTCTTCTCCGCGTCGTCCAGACCGGTTCTGGGGTTCACCCGGCCTCCTATCCAACGGATACCAGGGGCTCTTTTTCCGGAGGTAAGATGACCGGGGCGTGAACCCTACCACTCACATCCAACAAGTGTCGAGGTCAAGAAAATATGGATTTACAATCCATTTCTCCATACACATGTGATTCTTAATTACTTAAGCACAGGGACTACTTTGCAATATAGTCTAGATACTAGAAGCGCCATGAAATAACCCACAACAACATATGCCTTCAGTATTTATTAAGATCTTCATGCTTCTCTAAGGCGTGCTGCACCTCCCACCCAGTTTGCATTTATAGTTTAATGTCATAACTACGTCAGATGACTCAAGTCTGTTGTGAATACAGTGATGCATCCTCGGGTTTCATACAAAAGACGGAGAATTGCTTGAGCAACTGAGTGGTTCTTAGTTCCCAAGATGAACTATGCTGCAGGAAGGTAGTTCAGAATGTCAGGTGGTTTAAAAATAGGTCTAATTAGTTTAAGTTCTCTTGTATTTTATTTCCTTAACCAGTGAGCCAGCAATTTTTCTTAATTTCCTTTTCAAAACATTCCTTTGACTTTTTACCAAACTACAGGCCCTCACGTGCCCGCAGACAAAATCTTGATTAGCCTGTTATTTTTCCCTTTCCCAAACAGAAGCAGTCTGAAAATGCATAACGAAGTTAAATATAGGGACTGCAATTACAAAGAAAAAGAGAATGCTTTCTTAGTCGCATTCAGACAAATAGGTTAGTCTCTAGTGGAACATTTATATATCTGAACTGTAGAAAGCAAACCATCCAACTGACACAGACTTACTTACCTTCCCTGTACTCATACAGATCCACATTTTGACTTCTCTTGGCGAAGTAACAAGCGCTGAGAGATCCCACCTGGAACAGGAGACGACACCTGCATTAGACCCCTCAGCGAGAAACAACTACATGATTTGTAAGATTTGAGGTTTTCACGGCAGTGACTATGAAGATAGCAGTCTTCTGGGCTGTGGCACCGTGTATATTGTGTTAACCGACGTTTTTGAGGAACGTATCGCCTCCATCTTGAGGGCAGAAGAAAAGAAGAAGAAGAAAAAAAAAAAGAAATTCGCGAGCGAACCAGCGTGAGCAGGCGCTTAGCGATGCATATCCAACAACTGTAAAAGTCAGATGTAACATCGAAGTTTCGCGCCGTCACAGTATTTGTAAATGGTAACGTATTGTGGCATGTAGATCCGTTGCAAGGCAACTACCGCGACATAGGCAAAGATACAACTGCCGTTACTATGTAGCAGCCCGTAAACGGTAACAGGGGAACGGCGTATTCTGTGCTGTCCAAGCCGACGTATTATAAGCAGGGCCAGTTAGATGGGGCAGTAAGTTAATTAGATAACAGCTGGGGTTCAGATTTTTGTGAACTGTTGTTGTGAGAATTTGGTAGCTGGGGCCGGGGACAGTTCGGGAACGGGAAAGTCTGCCGTTTGAAACCGCTATTAAGGAACGGCTAGTGAAGACTGGGTGGACAATATTAAAGTGGATCTTAGAGGGATAGCATGGGATGGTATGGATTGGATTGATCTGGTTCAGGATAGGGACCAGTAGAAAGCTCTTGTGAACACGGTAATGAACCTTCGGGTTCCATAAAATGCTGGGAAATTCTTGAGTAGCTGCAGATTTGGCTTCTCCTCAAGAAGGGTTCAGCTCCATAAGTAAGTAAGTAAATGGAAGTGAACAATGTAACCAACTGAGAAGACCCAGTGTGTCCTGTAGTGGTTTATGAAGTGTATAGAACAGTGAGAGCATAGTCCTTATTTGCAGTTACGAGTTGCAAGGGTTAAATAAATCCGATTATTAATCTAATCCCGTCTATAGTCACTAAAACCATGTGACAATATAAACCACTTTTCATTTAAATGTGTAAGTACGTTTATCATCTGACTGCTTACAAAATTTCTCTTGTCTCTCTCCAACTGTTCATTCGTTACTCCCATGAACCGACAAGATAAATGTAAATACTGGACGGTTATACGCCATTTCGCATTCTACAAAAGGCCATACCAATATTTTAATTTTTGGGGAATATTTGTTAATACACAAATAGTTATAAATATAAGGCTTCATGAGAAGTATTGGTAGTTTCGTTCAAAATTTACAAGTATGCACTGTCGGCTGCCACTGGCTACTGGAAATTAAATAATCGAAAGATGGAGCTATCTAGTGTCAAAATATCTATCCTAAATGTTATACAAATTTATAAACTGGTTCAGTTATTCTATCGCCTCACAATTATGGCGATTCACGCACCTACTCAAGGTTAAAGTAAAGTTATTCCTTTCCTTAATAAACATCACGCCGTTAAAATGTATTGAGGAGTGGAGGTATAATTCCAGACATTCTTAATCTTGGTTCCGGATAGAGCTGAATGGCCAGGACGTTGTCCTAGAGAGAGAGAGATTTCATGTTCTTGCTGGGAATAATAAGGAACATATGCTAATAAGATATCTTAAAAATGAACTGTAATTATTCGACGTTTCTTATCAAATGTCTTTTCATATATAGCCGAAATGATCACATCACAATCTATCGTTGTACTTGAATGCATGTGTGGCCTTACAGAAGCTCTGACTGGATTCTCCTTGCGGAGTCCCGGGTTCAGTCCCACCATAGTCCATGTGGAAGCTGTGGTGGACAATAAAGCACAGAGATTGGTTTCTCACTGAGGACTTCAGATATCCTTGCCAATTATAATCATACAGAGCTCCATACTCAACTATCATCGGATGCTGAGATATACACCAGTCTGAATTCCCAGTGCCAAATGACCTTCCCTCGTCCCAGTGATACAATTAATTTTTTTTTTTGATTTTGAAATAATTTTACAATCTACTCATTATACATAGATAGAGTAATTAGTAAAAGGGATGGGTGTGTGTAATATTGAAGCAGAGATCATCCTCCGATGATTCTCTGGTGCTTATCTAATGAGATCCCCTGGCCACATTCTATTTAGTCTTCTTTCTATTGCTTGTTGGTTGAAGAGGTTTCTTATTAGTTGGTTGTGTAATTAAAAATATGTGCGTAAAGATAATATATATTCTTTCCCATATGTTATTGACTTCGACTACGTTACCTTGAAATTGAAATCGATTGTTGCTCAGTAGACCATTGTAGATTGATGTATACCGGACAACAATTAAATCCGTCCGACCGGTAAAACTGATTTCGACAAAATCGACATCTCTCGTTTGGGCCCTCGTGCGCGTACTGTAGTTTTACAGGGAATTTCTCCGTCCCAGTTTTATTTGGGGAGGTGGTCTTCATAAAATGTTCAAAGGTAATAAAACTCCTTATAGTCTTTTCCGATAAATCTATATACTTAATTTGAAGAACATTTGAATTGTCCCTATTTATGGAGCTAGAATATTTATATTCTGTGATAGGCCGCGCCATAGCTCAAGCGGTTAGTCGGTGGCTTCCAACCGCGGCGGCCCTGGTTCGATCCCGGGGTCTGGTCAAGTGGGATTTGTGGTAGACAAAGTGGCACTGGGGCAGGTTTTCTCCGAGTACTACGGTTTCCCCTGCCAGTCTTCATTCCACCAATTGCTCCACAATCACCCTCACCTATCATCTAGGGCTGGTACAATAGGCCAGAAGTGGCCGCAGTACAAGGGACTTAGTCCCACCCCACTAGCAATAAAAGATATATATTTTTTGATGGAGAAAATCATATATCGAAGAAGAATAAAACGCTTCCAATCGTTCAGGTACGAACTAGGCACATATTCATGTATACAGAGAGTATGTGTAATGTATGTATATGTGATATAACCAATATCTCTGATTCAGCAGTTATGAAAACGCGTAAACCTGTCAAAATTTCGAGGTAATTTTTTTTTACTTTTGTGATGCTATCTCAGTATTCGAGATGGTAAAGATTGCATGTATGGCATCGAAAAAATTACCAGAATCAAGAAGGGTTCGACTTTTATTGCGAGAGCCAACTTCTATTTGAACCTTGCTGATATGACTAAGGAATTTTGTAGTTTTCTCTATACGAAGCAAATGCCATGATAACATTTGAAACAGGTCGCTACCGTTAAAAAGAAACTACCGTAATTTATGATTTCTAGGAGCCGGGATAGTGTAGTCGGTATAGTGACTAGCTACGGGCTGGACGACTGAGAAGTTGGAGTTCGAGTCCTGGTAGGGTCAAGAATTCTCTGTCTTCCAAATCGTCTCTGTGATCCATCCAACATCCTATCCAATTGCTACCGGGGGTAAAGCGGCAAGGGCGTGAAGCTGACCACTTACCTCCAGCTAGTGCCGAGGTCAAGAAAATGTGGATCTAAGCACACACTTCCCCATACGCCATCATGGCGTAGTGCTTAATTCATTAATCACAGGGACAACTTTACCTTACCTTCTTTATGGTTTCTATTTCAGTATTTATAATCATTATAATCATTTTATAGACTGCTTTATTTTGTATTTTGTTTATTAGTATTTTGTGTCCTTCTATGTGCTCGTGCTAACTTTGTAATTAGCCTCTGAACGGTTAAATTTGCAAGTATATAAACAAGAATTGAATTGAATTGAATTATTATATGCTTTTTACATACTTATACTTTATATTTCTCAATTCTCAATAACGACTTAAATTTATGTTAATGAAATTATTATTAATACTTCGTTTGTTTGCTTACTTCTCTGCATTAATGTGTTTTTCTTCTACTGCTTTCCTTTAATTAGTTTTTAATTTATGTTGTGTTATAGTTCGCTTGCGGACTAAAATCACGGAGTTTTTCTTTTGTCCGTAATGTAATTACTTGTATCTACACTGTGCTGTGTCTATAATTGGCCTTGTTGCTGTTGACTAGCCACATAAATAATAAAGAAATGAATTGAATTGTCTCCGTTGAAGCTACATAACTGCATATGGCATGCCGACTCACCAGGCCTCCACCAATTATTGCTACTTTGAGCCGTTTTCCGGGATCTGCTTCGGTCTCCATTGTGTGGCACCTCTGACCTGGTATTCCCAACACTGACCAAGGCTGACGAAGCCGTACGGTAGACTGAAACCTTTTGTGAGGACATTGACAACCGGTAGGTTACGTAGTGACACGTGATATCACAACATGTCTCAGGGTGTGTTACGTTTCATGCTAGGAGAACTGCAAATATTATATTAGTTTTCACCCAACGCATTTTTCTATGACTTTCTTGCGGTTTTTACCTGAGTAAAAATTCACATTGTGGTCGTCTGGGCAATGACACCGTCTAGTTGTGTAAATGTATACTAACACTTCGGATTAATATACTCCACCATCAGGATTGAATTGAACGTTGATATTCACTTGTCGGTTTCACGCTGTCATGACTCCTCATGATAGGAATCTTATTTGTTTTTCGTAAGAACAGTATTTATGCTTTGTTCTGGATAGGTGCACAAGTTGAATACACGCAGCGGATGTCGTGTCAGTCAGTCCGACCGTCCCTCTGTTCGCATCTCCGAAACTACTGAACAGGTTTCGGTGAAATTTGGTATTGGTAAAATCGTATTTGGAGCCGTTCACGGTAGCCGAGCGGTGTAAGGCATGCCCTGTCTTCGCTCGCTCGAAAGCCGGGATCGTGGGTTCGAATCCCACTCAGGGCATGGATGTTTGTGTGCGTTTTTTTGTGTTTGTGTACAGGTAGAGGCTTTCTGACGAGGTGATCACCCGCCCAAGGAGTCCTACCGTATGTCCAAGATCTAGAAAAACCGAAGTGAACGGAGAAGTTCATGGAGGTAGGCCTAGGCCCACTGGGGCTNTATGCAGAGATTAGCTTCGCAACAGATGGATTATATTATTAATAAATAAACAAGAAGGAAAATGAGGTATGCAAATTCGAAGAAGAGGTATTTGTAAAATACATATAGACTCTGTGTAGATTGCTACAACGTGGAGTTCATTCTTCACTCTTGTTGTAGTCATCTGTTTTGCTCATAACATATATATATGTATATATATATATATGTTTTCTGGCACACATGACTAATTTGTTATTCATTTATTTTATCTTCTAATCAATAAAATTTACTTATAGCTGATTGGGTATTTTCAATCATATCATTTTCGAAAAGGAAAGGATCCAAGTTTGATAAATGGTATCCAAAAGAAAGGGGCAGCATACTTCAGTAGTGAAAGTAAACGCTTTAAAGCAAAAATACAAGCTTGCAATAATGTGTCCACACATTGGAGCCTGTTCTAACAGCGAATGTGCAGCAGATCTTGTCTCTCTTAGGGGTTGCTAGATCCGAATGAAACACAAAACAAAGAATAGACTATGAAATGAAATTCACCCAAATCATTTTAATCATATCAGCGAAAGGGTTATGATTTATACAATAACACATAAATACATCTAGTTCATGAAATCAAACTGTTGCAACTGCACGAGTTCTGTTAGTTAGGCCATATCTCTGTTATTATTTCGACAAAAAGACGTAAGTATGTGGTCTGGCCGCGCCATAGCTCAAGCGGTTAGTCGCTGGCTTCCCACCGCGGCGGCCCGGGTTCGATCCCGGGTCCGATCAAGTGGGATTTGTGGTGGGCAAAGTGGCGCTGGAGCGGGTTTTCTCCGAGTACTTCGGTTTCCCCTGCCAATCTTCATTCCACCAAATTCTCCCTCATTATAATCACCCAGGGCAGGCTACAATAGGCCAATCAGTGGCCTCCGTGTCGAGTGGCCCCAGTTGGACTCCACCGCCCACTAAGCGAATTAAAAAAATATGTGGTCACCGTACCGTTAGGCTGTACGAAAATCCAATCTAATCACAACCATCATTGAAGGAGTGAAATATAGCTTATAAATATTGTCACATGATGGAGTAACTATAGATGGGATTTGGATTGATAATCGGGTTTATTGCACAATTACACAACTCGCTACTACACTTCACAAACCACTATAGGACACACTAGGTCTTCTCAGTCGGTTATAGTCTTCACTTAGCCGTTGCTTAAAAGCGGTTTCCAACGGAAGATATTCCCCCTCCCCTGAATTCCCATGACCACATTTTATTGTCTCAGATTCCCCGTATTTATATCCCCCAGGAACAGGGTGGCCCAGTTATGTACTCAGGTACTGGCTTCCCTCCTGCTACAACTCTCAGGGCTACGGTGGAGGTACTTCGACCCCACCTCCACACGGGATCAATCCTTGGAGGGTCTCCACGGCTCCTTAAATAGGCTAATTCGTATCCATTGAAAATCATGTACAGTGATTCGTTGTCAGGAAAATGTGTTTAGCAGCTCGTATCCTAGCAACGGATACACACATTAAAATACATTCAGTACGTCCGCCAAACATATTGAGCTGCTCTCTTCACGTTCTACCATAACCCAGTTTCATATCCAGTCTTACTGTCCATGATATTATGCTATATTATTTAACACAGACTTTTACATCGTAGATATTCGAATTATATCTCAGGAAACGACACTCCTTCTTAATCAGGATGCTAAATAGCGAGGTGCAGAAAGNGGTCACCGTACCGTTAGGCTGTACGAAAATCCAATCTAATCACAACCATCATTGAAGGAGTGAAATATAGCTTATAAATATTGTCACATGATGGAGTAACTATAGATGGGATTTGGATTGATAATCGGGTTTATTGCACAATTACACAACTCGCTACTACACTTCACAAACCACTATAGGACACACTAGGTCTTCTCAGTCGGTTATAGTCTTCACTTAGCCGTTGCTTAAAAGCGGTTTCCAACGGAAGATATTCCCCCTCCCCTGAATTCCCATGACCACATTTTATTGTCTCAGATTCCCCGTATTTATATCCCCCAGGAACAGGGTGGCCCAGTTATGTACTCAGGTACTGGCTTCCCTCCTGCTACAACTCTCAGGGCTACGGTGGAGGTACTTCGACCCCACCTCCACACGGGATCAATCCTTGGAGGGTCTCCACGGCTCCTTAAATAGGCTAATTCGTATCCATTGAAAATCATGTACAGTGATTCGTTGTCAGGAAAATGTGTTTAGCAGCTCGTATCCTAGCAACGGATACACACATTAAAATACATTCAGTACGTCCGCCAAACATATTGAGCTGCTCTCTTCACGTTCTACCATAACCCAGTTTCATATCCAGTCTTACTGTCCGTGATATTATGCTATATTATTTGACACAAAATTTTACATCGTAGATATTCGAATTATATCTCAGGAAGCGACACTCCTTCTTAATCAGGATGCTAAATAGCGAGGTGCAGAAAGGACCTTCAATTCATTCCCTAGGTTTCGAATATAAGGTAAGACGTCATCCTCATTCAGTGACGTAGTCATGAGTCATTCAACTGAATAAGTAAAAGGGAAGACGAAAAATGAAAGGTATGCCAAGGAATTCACCACGACAACTTGCACTGCACAACCAGTAGTGATAACCAGTCCAGTGCCAGCGAGTGACAGAGTTGAAATGTACCCATGCATGAGTTGTGCGAGAGCTGTAGTTTTCGAGGTGGTGAACATTCGGAATGTGGTTTTCTTGTTTATGGCACCGTGAAGCCTGGGAGATTGACAGAAACTTTTCGAACTAAGCTGCTGCCTCAACTGTAAACACTGTCATAACCCAGAAGATTATAATTTTAGGGACATCAATTTTACTTTCTATCACAACGAAATTTCATAATGAAGAAAGTTTAAATTAATGTGATATTATCTACGAAAATAATAATGTAACATCTACAAGACGCCAGTGTCAAAAGTGCAAAGTTAACAGGATCGAAATGTCGAGCCCACACGCTTATTGAAACAACGGACAAAGGTAAACTGATATTTAGTACGTAGTAAGTAAACGTAATCATTTAAAGAGCTCATACAAACATGATAGGAAGCAACTGGCTTCACATGAAAGTTAATCATCTTCACTACAAAAGAGGAGAATAGGACAATACTTCAGAATTAACATTTAGCAGAAAAATTGTGCCAAACAACTATATCGCAATGAATGCAACTCTTATATTCGTTCTGGATATTAAACGGTGAATTTTAAGTCCTCACAGCCGTGGTTATGAAGAGTTATATATTGTGGGATATAACGCCGTGTACTTCGTTGAAAGCCAACCGACATTTCAGAGGAATATGTGACCTCCATCTTCAGGGTCGAAGACTAAACCGAGGAAGAAAGCAGCGTGCAAGCAAGTGGCACGCAAGCTCGACTTCCAACGGACTACAAGCATATATATCCCCGAAGATAGAACTTTTCATTACTCTGTGAGGCTAGACAAAATTCTAAAACTCATAATTGCTATACAGTAGACATATGACACTATACTTGAACTGTTTTTATTACTCAATATAAATACGTGTGTTATAAGTGTGATTGCTATAAGGCGTATTTCTAGCGTTCGATCCGTCTGACGCAGCTTACTGACCAAGTTGTCACGGAACTCATTTTCATCCAATGTACGTAATAGCGAAAAGCGAAATAATCTAAGCTAAACTAACGTAAGGCATGTACTGTCTTCGCTCGTTGGAAGCCGGAATCGTGGGTTCGGATCTGTTTCCTGTGAGGTACGAACTGAGTTCTTATATATTATTCTTATACACTGCCAGTCACGGTAGCCGAGCGGTCTAAGGCATGCACTGTCTTCGCTCGCTTGGAAACCGGGATCGTGGGTTCGAATCCCACTCAGGGCATGGATGTTAATTTGTGTGTGTGAGTTTATCTGTGTTTGTGCACAGGTAGAGGCCTTGCGACGAGCTGATCACCCGCCCAAGGAGTCCTACTGAATGTGTAAGATCCAGAAAAACCGAAGTGAACGGAAAAGTTCGTGGAGGTAGGCCTAGGCCCACTGGGGCTCTAGTGCCAAGGAAAAAGGGGGGGGGAAGCAAAAATACTAACGTAATCTAACGAGTTCACCCAGTATCATCTGTCACTAAAATCGTATATGGTGAAAAAAAAATGGGGCTATAAGGATGTGAAAGGTATGTGGTACTATGGGAGAAATTAGAAATTACTTCACAATTTTAGTCGGGAAGCGTGAAAGGAATGGACCACTTAGCAGACGTAAGCCTAAGTGGGAGAAAAATATTGAAATGGCTCTGAAACAAGGAATGTGAATTGTATTAATTTCGATCCGAAGAGGGTATAATGAGCTCTTGTAATGGACTTTCGGATTTCGTGGAAGTTGAGTAATTGTTGATTGCTTGAACGACTACTAGCTTCTCAAGAATGACCCTACTTCATGGAGTTAGTTATGTATTTTTATTTATGGATCCCATACTGCGGCTTATTTTCTTCTTTATTTCTTTTTTATTCCAATTTGTGTACTTGTATGCTGCCCCGTTCGGAATTTAACATGTACAGGCCTACAAGTCGCCTGGCTATCGGCCAACGCCCGGCTTTATATAGTGCCCTCTCACCTCTCACCTCTCACTACTGTTTTAATATAAATGCGGACCTGGGTTCACTTCATATAGGGATATAAATAGTCTCAATACACCCGAGAGAACCTCTTTCACCGTATCAGTGAAACTGAAGGTTAAAAAAGGATGACGTCATCTATAAAGGAGCACGTCACTCGAACGTCATGAGGTATCTGTATGCTGACGTCAGAGTCTCTTGCACAAAGAAAGGCAAATCATTACAATATTTTGCAGCAGTCTCACATCTATGTCTTCAGAGGATTGTCATCTAGACTGTAACGCCGTGTAGTCCGAAGAGAGCCCGACGTTTCGGAGGTACATATCGCTTCAATCTTCAGGGAACTACAAAACGTTCAAACAATAAGATCGTAATCTTTGTAGTCAGAGTTATGGGAACTTCAAATCTAATATTTTTGTTTTCTTTTTACAAAAAGTAACAACCTCTAAAATGGAACTAAAGGGAATTTTATTTTTCATGTTTGTAAAATTATCTCAGTGACAGGCTCTTGTGATTTATGTTGTCATAAAGTAATACAAGTATTTCCGTGGTCATTCAGTTGGGAAAGTGGGCATTAAGTTATCGATTCTTGCAGTTAATGCACGAACACAAAATGGTTGGTAGGCTCGTAGCATATTTAACGACGCTGAACCATTGAAACTGGTTATTTAACGTCGAGTGACAGGATACTCACATACGTAAGCTGTCATTCGAGTTACATGTTGAACACAGGGACACTTTCCTCCTCAAAATTGTCTACAACAAGGAGATGCCTTAAGGCCACTGTTTTTCAACTTCTTTTTAGAACGCGGCATTAAGAAGTTATGAAACTACCACGTGGCATTGAATTTGATAAGAATCAGCTTCTGGTCTACGCTACTGATTATTACATCTATTATGAGATGATCAATACCACAAGAAAGCTTAAGATCTAATTGACGTTAGTAAGTTTAGTTTAGAGAAACACAGAGTAAAGTAAGAATATGTTGATTTAACGTTGCCAAAATGAGGGACAAGATAATATAAAGATGGCTACCAGATCCTTTGAGAATGTGACGAAGTTCAGATAGTTGGTAATGATATTATTAAATCAAAATTTGGGTCATGAGGAAATGAATGGCAAATTAAATGCTTGTTACCTTTTGCCTTCTTGTCTGCTGTCTAAAACCCGCAGAAAATTATGATGTACAAAACTTTAATTTTGCCCGTAGTTTTCTTATGAGTGTGAAATTTGGTCTTTGACGTTATTGGAAGAACATAGACTGAGGGTGTTTCAAACATGGAGCTGAGGCGAATATTCTGCCCAAGAGGGATAAAATAACGGGAGGCCGGAGAAAATTTTATAATGAGGAACTCTATAACTTGTGGTCTTCGCCAAACATAATTATAATGATCAAGTCAAGGATGGTGTGATGGACAGGTCATTTAACACACATGGGAAAGAAGAGGAACAGGGTTCTGGTGGTAAAGCCAGAAGGAAAGAGACAATGAAGACCTAAAAGTAGATGGAATTTTACTATTAAAATTAATATAAGAAGCGTATGATGGATTGTTAGTGACCAATAATTGGCTCTTGTGAACTTTATGATACCACAGATTATTTGGAAATTCTTGAGCAGCTGAGCGATTAATGGCTTCTCAAGAAGGACTGAGTTTCATGGTGTTCTTCAGTATCTTAATGGAAATTTGGGCAAAGTACCTTAAATTGGACTATAACGGATGGAGAAAATTGCATAGCCAGAGTACCATAATGCCGATCACAGTGGCTGCGCGGTCTAAGATACAAACCGTCTTCTCCCGCTCCAACACTGGGATCGTGGGTTTTAATCCCGCTCGAAGCATGGACGTCTGTGTGCTTTTATTCTGCGTATAGGTAGCGGCCTTGTGACGGGCTGATCCCGTCCAAGGAATTCGTCAGTTGTGTATAGGATTACGAATCTGAAAAAATTGGCCAAATTTCACGAGGGCTGTATGGCCATAGATAGACAGATAGATAGATAGATAGATAGATAGATAGATAGATAGATAGATAGAGTCCCGTAGTTGGTATTCTTCACAAAACATTATTATTGTGAATAAATCAGGGACGATACGATGGGCAGTTCGTGTAGAATATGGATGGTATGAGAATCGTACAAATTTTGGTAGAAAATTATGAGGGGAAAAGACACTTGGAAAATCAAGGCATAGATGGCAGGCTAATATTAAAATGGCTTATGAACAAAATAGAATAAGAATACATGGACTTGATTATTTTATCAGAACCAGAGCCAATGGCAGGTTCTTGTGAACGCGGTAATGAATTCGGGTTACATGAAATATTGGGAAGTTCTTAACAAGCTGAGCACCTATTTGTTTCTCAAGACGATTCTGTTTCATGGCTCTAGTTTTCTTCTTCATTTTATAGAGGTCAGGTTCAATAATTTCAAGTTTTCTCCATTTTAAGCCAATCCGTCGGCCCCAGCGATATTTATATTCAAATCAAAGTATTTACATTGACCTCAATTCTTTTACTATTTGTTATGTATTTTCATGTGTAGGGGTGACTTAGAAGACTGTTTTTGGATTGGATGATTGGATTTATATACATTCACACAGTTCGGGACTATAGGTAATACAGCGCAATCGTTATTCTACACAATTTCCAGTTCACCTATGCACACGCACTAGGGTGCTCAGTCTTCACTAGCCGTATCCTGGCAACGACTTATCACCGTATTACTATATACTATTATTTGTATGCATTTCGTGTAATTTATTTAACGACGCTTTAGGTAACTCGGGATATAGCGTCGAGCCATTGGATTATACTGAAGAATCCATTGGAAAATGCGTGAACGGAAGCCATCTTGGACTAACTTAGGTTTATATTCCGGTAATCGCTTTGATTGGACTAAGGAAAGCAAACGAAAAAGTGTAGGTTAGTGAGTGTCCCAGCCGTGGCCGATCATAGTTGCTGCGCCGTCTAATACGTGAACTGTCTTCGTTCACTCGAACCCTGGGATCGTGGGTTCGAATCGCACTCGAGACATGGATGTCAGTGTGTGTTTGTGTTGTCCTGTGTGTAGGTTTCAACCTTGCAGCGGGCTATTTACCAGTCCAAGGAGTCCTACCGACACTGCATAAATTAAGAAACTGAAAAAGCGGTCAAGGTCCGCAATGGCTGTAGAGCCATAGATAGTAGATAGTGTCCCATTCCGATGGGGGAAATCCCGAACTGAAATCAAGTGTCACCACTTGAGCAAAATCGCCTAATAACGAGTTTGAGAGTGAGCATTTTTTTTCGTGAATTCTACTACAAAACTACTTCTAGCACTCGAGTGTTGCATGTACGCCAGTTCTATCGATTTTAGTTTGCAAGTGAAGCCTTTTTGATGTAGTTTGTCTCCATAATTTTGCTGCCTTGGATACTGAGGTAGCGACGGACAACAACAAGGCCGAATAAGTAGACAACTTAGAAGTTGACATACCGATAATGAAGAACTTCGTGATTTATACACTTCAAATAATATTGACCGGGCAGTGAAATGCAGAATGTTGTGGCATAAAACGTTCAGTGATTTCTTGCATGAAATTTCATTATTCGGGGTCTCCAGAGCGAGAAGATTGCAAGAGTGAGAGAGCTTTCCAAATATATGTAACATAGAAGTGGTGTAAGTATACTGTTCCTAGCGAATAGACACTTTTCATTCGATTTAAGGAATTTTGAATAACCCAAGGTGGATGAGTGGCGATCACGGTAGCCGAGCGGTCTAAGGCGTGCTCTGTCTTCGCTCGCTCGGAAGCCGGGATCGTGGGTTCGAATCCCATTCAGGGCATGGATGTTTGTGTGCGATTTTCTGTGTTTGTGTACAGGTAGAGGCCTTGCGACGAGCTGATCACCCGCCCAAGGAGTCCTACCGAATGTCTAAGATCTAGAAAAACCGAAGTGAACGGAGTTCATGGAGGTAGGCCCACTGGGGCTGTAGTGCCAAGGGGGGGGGGGAAGAAGAAAAAAAAAGGAGGATGAGTTGGCCTGGTTATTTATGACATTTGGCGGAAATTGATAATGCATGTAAAATTTCAGTTGCAAGACATATATAGGAAGACGCCTCGTGGGAGATATAGGCGTAGATGGAAGTGTAGTATAAAAATTTATGCAATGTTTTGGACCTGATTGAATAGGTTCAAGACAAGGTTTATTGGTGGGCTCTTCTAAACACAAGGAAGCTTGGCGTCCACTGAAGAGGGTAGAATTTCATTATCAGCTGAGAGACTGTTGTCTTCTCAAAACGATTCTGCTTCATAAATTTAATTCGGGTAGTAGAAAGGAATTGTTTATATGTAGCGGACGGGTTTTCTTACATCAGAGGTGTGTCGTAACCCCTGTGCTGTTCTTGTGCGATATAAATATATGTCACCCCTAGCGGGGAGCTGCGAAAGTAACATCGTCCACAGACAAGCACATATATATCTAGTGGAGTCCTCTGTCGGGTGGATATGAAAACGACTCGCGTCCCCACTCTTCAGGACCGCGTGTGTGTGTGTTAGTGACAGTAGCAGCACTTGCTACTTACGAGGAGCAGCGATGGCTCCAGGCATCTCGGCCCCGTGGCCGAGGGTACGGCGGTGGTCGTGGTGGATGACGCTTCTGATCGTGACCTTGACGACGATCGATGGTGTGTCCGCTGCGAAGAAACCTGAGGCGACTGGAGGAGGGTCAGCGACAAAAGTGAAGGAAGAACCGGTGATTGAAGAGGTGACAGCCAAACAGTTGGAACGGGTGTTGAACGAAAAGGATTTTGTGGCAGTGTTCTGGTGTAAGTGGAGTGCCTGTGGGCGTGTGCTGTGTGTTCATGTGCTCGCTTGTTCTGGTCCACCTAGGCCTTCCTTTCTGCTAACAATGCTGTTTGATATGTATTGCAAGAATACGAGGCCTCAGCACGTGGAATAAGATTTCATCACGCCCTTTCTCGCTTTAATCACATTTAGGAACCATCCCTATAACGAGTTCAAGTCAAAGCATGGAATGAATCGGGAACACATGATTAATATTATATTTGAGGCTACCATCCCGGTGATAATTCAATTTATGGTCTTCTAGATTATGACACCGTGTAGACTGATATTTTGTCATTCTTTCTCTTCTAACTGTTAGAACCGGGGAACAGTGCTATGATTCCAGCACTTGAATAAGTAGAAAAGATAACTAATTATGCTTGACTTGGTTTTTGGAATTAGGAGAATTTCGAATCGACGAGTTCTGCGCAGTGGTGCCTGCGCACTGAGGTTACCTTTTGGGAGTCTTAAGGATTTCATGGCGGTGAAAATTGAGATTGTGCTTTTCTAGGTTATGACACCGTGTAGTACAACAGAGAGTTTCCGTAACTGTGTTAGGATCTTCGCGTCAGTAGGCCTGTTTGACTGTATGTCTCCTTTTCACGACCGCCGTGTTAGGTCACATTGCGTGGTTAACATCATTTTTCTGTTCACGCGATTCTATGGGACAGTACTAGATACCACAGTGAGGCACAGTGTTCCGTTTTGAATGCCACTGAAAGTTAGTTACACGTCAGACACAGAAGAATGCTTCTGACCATCAGCCAACTTGTGGTTGCATATTAGTTGAGTGCTACTGAAACAGATTTATAAATGTACTGTTTCGGCTATTATTGACTAGGCCTTTTAGTCTCTTATGACTTAACAACTGATTCTGAAACAATCTCTTAATCATTTGCAGTTCTGTTCGGACGAGGATTAGTTACAATTCTGGAACATAGATTTCAATTAAGGCTCTCATTTTATCGGACGTTAAGGTAAAACTGTACATATGCCTAGGTACAAGGCCATGAAGACATATGGAGAGGTGCAGATAAAACGCCGAATATTCTCTATCTTGACAGTGGAAATGAGAGATTTAACAATTCTCCTTTCAGGAATCGATTCGCGGAACTCCAGTTTATACAGTCAATCGCTTTAGTAGCCCAAATATTAAACTATATTTGTTGAAAGGTCTTAGTGCATATTTAAAAATATCTCGTTAAATTTCAAAGGAATTTCCCCTTAGCTTGACGACAGGAGCGTTAGGCTATCCACACACTTCCATCTAGTGTTGAAGCTAAGGATATGTGGAGTTGCACCTACATTTCTCATACTTCTTCATGTCGTGGTGCTTAGTTAAGCACGATGAAAATTTTATTTTTACTTCTCTTTCTATGGTTAAATTTGTTATTCTATCGATAGCTTCAGATGACATTTTTACACTTCTCTGTTCTGCATATATTATCGAATTGAGGAGCCCTGATATTACGCTTTCGGTGTTCAAAAATGAATACCACAAATTTATCTATGCCCATCAATATTCTGTAATAAGATTTGAGAGTGATTTGCTCCAGTCAATAAGTCCAGATGGTTAATACGAAATGGGGTAACATGTTGGGTTAGAAGCAATAGCGAGCGAGCTCTGTGTAACGAGGACGAAGCGGTGTCTCTTGAAGACTGTGTTCTGGATGACTGCCTGTGCATACCTTTGTGAAACTCAGAATAGCTCAACTGCTTGAGGTGCTCCACCCTGGGTCCAGGACGTGTTGCTGGCCCTGTAAACCAGGCGATACATTTGAAGCGGATGATAATAAAACGCAAGAAGAGAGTGGCCCATTAGTAAATCATAAATTTCGTGCATATCTTATATTTAGGTCCTCACATTGCATCATAAGTGTAAAATTCAATTCATGATTTAGAATAAGAGATTAATTTTGTTATAATATATTAATAAGGTTATATAAATCAGTTTCATTTTACGATTCACGTGTTTTCTATCGAATGCGACAGTGCACGCAACAGAAGACCATCTCTAAAGTAAATATTGTCACAATTTTGTGTTGTGATTATTAGGTGGGGATTTGGATTGGATGATTTGATTTATTGACACCTTATACGTAAAATTCGGAACTACAGGCAGTTACAGCACTACCGCTGATCTAGACACTTTACAGATCACCGTTACACACACACACACACACACAAGTGTTCTCATTCTTCACTAGTCGTATCATGGCAACGGATTTATAACAGTCTCACTGTTACTGCTGCACAATTAAAGTCACAGCCTAACACCTTCTCAATCATTCGACTGTAGTCTCCAGAGGCTATCTCAATTCTATATGCCAGCTGGCCTGTAATCTTTGTTATATAACATCGGGTTGGCCCATGCAGAAAACACCGTTTACTAACAATTCCTCTGTTGTTGCGGAGGTGTGTTTACCTAAGGTCTTTATAGGGACGGTAGTTCTATTATTGCCTGCGTGTCCGTTGCCGCCGAAATATGTTTACAGAGTCGTTGCCTAGCAATGTGCGTCTCCTCTGGCTCCACGATTCCGGCTTCCGGGTGTCATGTCACAGTATGAATGGCGTACTGATATTCTTCATATAGTACAAGGAGCATGGTTTCTTTAAACACAAACTCCACGATGAAATACTAAACAAAAAAAAACCCTGACAAATCAGACAGTTTGTCTCCAATAGTTGTATGTGTATTCTGAGTTCAAATGAATACCCAACAGTCTCCAAAATAACAACCGCACTGGCCATGAAAAGTACTAACCTGAGAAATGTGACACAGCAAGTTCTTGGAGAAATTTGCCGAAATTCTTCTGAAAGCATCGGCAATTTCTTCCAGACTACATGACCTCAAATGCCAGACGATATTGCTGTCCAAGTTAATAAATGTAAGCATATCGCGGAACCCAAAAATTGTGACGCCTTCTTGAAAACTTTATGACTTACGGAGAAAAGTGTAAGGCAAGGGTAAAAAAAAGTTAAATCTATCCCTGTAACAGGCCGTGGAGGCCCATAGGGTTGTGAGACGTCGAGGTTGCCACTTCGAGATAATCGGCTCACAGATGGCGGCGAGGTTATCAGCCTTAAGCGCCGGCCGCCGTTTATTCCCCAGAAACGTTCCTGGTATTTATTTCTGTTAGAGGCTGAGTCGACCCCAGAACCGTATTGCGGCTGGAAGGATTAGGTTAATTGATAATTTCAATGACATATGGAATCGAACCCACGACCTTCCGGCTTGTAGCATAGTTCCTCAACCAGCTACGCTACCGCCTGCTCTATGGACAAATTTTACGAGGTAAAAATATTTCGTTTGCCTCCACAGCCAATAACTCCAGCATTTTAATCTTGAGTTATTTTCGAGATGTGTGCAGACGAGCGTTTGGTTCTCACACAAGTGACCTCTAGTTTTTGCGAATTTTCACCGATATTGGACTATGGCAACTAATTATAATAAAATTATTACAAATGATAAAACGATTCCGTCCAGGGTGACTGTTGAAGGTTTTACTACTTCACTTTTTAGCACCTTAACATGTTTCGGTCCCTACAGACCATCATCGGAGGGATCATCAATACTTTTAGAAACTACTATAACATAAAAGTATTGATGTTCCCTCTGATGATGGTCTATAGGGACCGAAACATGTTAGGGTGCTAAAAAGTGAAGTAGTAAAAGTTTCAATAGTCACACTGACCGGAATTGTTTTATCATTTGTAATATTGTTAGTGTGACGGGCCAGAATGAAACAAATAAAAAAAATTGTAATAAAGATGATCAGTATCAAATTTCATGACAAGCTATCATTGCTTTGTAAGAAGCCGGTAGACAGACGGGAAAATAAACAAGACGAAAGTATTATTCGCATTTCCGCAACTTTTAGTTAACGAAAGTGCCAAAAATTCGCCTGTAGCACATAACGTTCCTGTTAAACTGACCACAAATTTCAATATATTTAGATCTGAAGATTTCTATCTTCTGGGTTATAGTGCCATGCATTTCATTGAAAGCCAATCGACGATTCAGAGGATCATGTCGCATCCATATTCAGGGTTGAAGACCAGCAAGGAACTAGTATGAAGCAGGTAGAAAGTTCTGCATCTTGTTGTGAACTGCATACTTTTAGATATTCTGGCTATTACTGGCGTTGCTTTTTCTATGTACATTTCGTGCAGAACATGATTGGTGTTATATTATTATCTCGTTGTCTGTCCGTACTTTGCAACGTTGTGCCGTGTGCCGTCCAATTTATACCTAAGCAAAGAATTCTATACACTTTCAGTTATAAATGGATTTAAACGTAAATATTACTCTTAGCAATTAATATATATTAAGCCAGCTCCTCTTTAACACGTAAGAATCTGATGACGGCCCTACTTTATCTAGTAAGTGAAGTTCTTAATTACTAAATATTATCCTTCCTGGTTTTCATTATTCTATTGTCATATCTCAACAGTATTTAGTGTAGGTGCAACAAGTCGTGTTTCATCTAGATCGGTCAAAAGTTTGGTCCCTGTTGCTTGATACTTGCTCACTCTGCTTAATCTACAGCCGCGAAAACGCAGAGAGTAGGTTTCCTCCGAGAAGCCAATAAACTTATACCAGACCTCACGAAGCCACTATCCAGAAGCTAGTATTCTTCATAATAACAACAGTGAAAACTTAAAATCTGATAATGTCTTTTTTATTTAGAAAACTGAGGCTCTTATGCTAATTTTGTCTGGGGCTTTTCCCTTTTTCAGCTGTGGAGGATTAGCCCTTTCGGCCTGTACAAATTCAGAATTCACTTCTCCAAAAGCAATCCTTTTACATACTTATAAGTCTCCTTATACTGACGATTGGTCTTCATAAGGCCAACATATTTCAAAACGCTACGGACACACATGAATGCCCTGAGTGGGATTTAAAACAACGATCTCAGTGTTCGAGTGTTAAAGACTGCACGTGCCGAATTGTAATAAATTCAGTTCAGAGCGAAAGCTG